AAGATAGGTGTCTGCCTGCCCCACCTTCGCTGGAAGTCTGGAAGGCCTTCCTTCTAAGACACCCAGCATAGCACCTGGCACATGATGGGTGCTCAGCAAATGTCTGTGGGTCTTTTTACTAAACAGGCAGTTGATTTCACCAGAAGTAGTGACTACCTAAGTTTTGGTAATTTTTTTTCTCCTGAGGGATTAAAAGCAGTGTCAAATGCAGGAGTGAGAGCAGTAGGTTATTAATAATCCCTAGGAAATACATACTATATCACAGGACAAAGACCCATCCTCACTAAGAGTTTGTTTTGTTTTGTTTTGAGACAGAGTCTTGCTGTCACCCAGGCTGGAGTGCAGTGGTGTAATCTCGGCTCACTGCAAGCTCCGCCTCCCGGGTTCAAGTGTTTTTCCTGCCTCAGCCTCCCGAATAACTGGGACTACAGGTGCGTGCCACCACGCCTGGCTAATTTTTTGTATTTTTAGTAGAGACGGGGTTTCACCGTGTTAGCCAGGATAGTCTCGATCTCCTGACCTTGTGATCTGCCTGCCTCGGCCTCCCAAAGTTATGAGATTACAGGCATGAGCCACAGACTTTTTCTTTCTTTCTTTTTTCTTTTTTTTTTGCCATTTCTCTTAAAATACGTTATTGATTCCATTTGAATCACTTACTATTTTGGGTCTTCCTGTAACTGGTGTTGGGGCTGGTTGGCTTCAGGAACCATCAGGTTTCAGCTCATTTTATTGATAAAGAAACTGAAGCTGGCAGGGTGGGGGGTGGGGGAGATAGAGGCTCCAAAACTAAGAAAGGGAAGTCTTGGGTACCTGTGTGAGGCTGAGGCTCTCCCAGTCTCCCTGGCCTTTGGGAGATGAGAAGCTTGAGATGGAGTCTCAAGGCACCTCTCACCAGGCCCTGTGGCCTCCAATTCGGGGATAGCAGTGGTCTTTAATGCTATTCTAGAAATATCCTGGCTAGTAGAAAACAGATGTCCTCAAGTTCACAGGCCTTGGTTCTGCTCTGCCCACCTGATTAGAAAAAAAGTCAGCAACATCAAAATTCCAAGCCAGTATAGTGTGTGGGTGTCATCCTGCTGCTTGAATTCGGAGTCTCCAACCAGGTCTTGGAACATGTATTCTTTTAACTGGTATTTATTTACCTCCTACTATGTGCCCGGCACCATTCTAACACTGGGGATCCACGGAGAACAAGACAGACAAGGGTCCTGCTGGCACAGAGCTCATTCTAGAGGAGAGGGGCTAACAATAGGTGGAAACCAACCACCAGGAATTTTTTCAGATTTTGGCTACTGACAAATGCTGTGATGAAGTGTCTGTGCTGTGGTGGACGCTATCTTTGGGGTAGTCAGGGGTGAGGTGGGCAGAGCCTTCCAGGCAAGGGAGAGCTGGAGCCAAGACCTTGAGAGGGACCAGGTTCCATGGGACTTCAGGAGAGCAAGGAGGCCACTGTGGCCGAAATGGAAGGTGGAGGTGCCAAGTGGGCAGGAGGAGGGTCTGCCTGGAAGCTTGGAAGGGTGGTTTTGGGGAATGTCGACAGGTCATTTGCACTCATGCTGACATCCATTTAAGGGGGGTTGTGTGTGTGAGAAGGAGCAGGCTTTCAGTCTCTCAGAACCATCAGGAGCAGACTGGAGGCTGCACGCTACTGTTCAAGTCCCCTCTTGAAGTGGGAACAGCTCTTCCCTGCTTGGCTCCAGTCTGCAATGCTAATGGGTATGAATCAGCCCCGACCAGGCCCTGATGCAGTGCTCCATTCTGCGTCAGAAAGCTCTAGCCCCTCATGCCTGAGTCACCTGTGCCCCAGGAGAGGATGCACAGACCAGGGCCACGTGCTGGCGGGCCTGCGTCACCAAGCCACACGCTACTGCTCAGCCCGGTAGCACCGCTGGGAGATTAAAAACATGCGCTTAGTGAAAGGCAAAGAGCTTCTTATGATAACCAGCATCTGTTAGTTAATGGACCTCTGAGAGCTGTATACAATTTCAACTTTTTATTAAGGGAAAAAAGCTCATTTGCTCTCCTGGGAGTTGCACAATGAAATTATCAACTGCATGGGCTTCCCACCCACCCCTCACCTTTCAGCGTGACTGAACATGCAATGGAGAACATTAATTTTATTTGGAAATAAGACTCTGGGCTTTCCTCCCCCTCTGTGGATGAGAGCGCTCTCACGTTTTATGTGAAGGGCAGAGACTTAAGGGGCAGGAGCAAAGGGCTGGAAGGAAGGCTTGGTGCCCATGGGCCTCTGGCCCTGTCACCAGGGAGTCTCAGCCCCTCAGCCTCTGAAACGACCCCTTCCTTTATCAGCCCAGAGTCTTGGAAGCCCTGACCTTCTGCCTGGGAGAAAAGGGATGGTTGCCCTTTCTTCAGCCTTCGTAGCTCCAAGCAGCATCACCTGCCCCCAAACTAACAAGCCCCAGCGAGCAGAGAGCAACTAAGTCCAACTGAGGGGATCCAGGAAGCTGCTGTCCTGCTCAACACACTCCTTTTCATTAGGGATGGCTCACGCTACGTCCCACGAAGCAACACTAAATTGCCTTCCCCACATAAAATCAAGGAATCCCATTCCCTCCAAGAGTCAGGAGGACACCCCAAGCCCGTGGGCTGTGAGACAGAGTCCTGGATCTCAGGCTCTGGAGCCCAGCCACTTCTCCTCTCTGTGCCTCAGTGTCCTCGTGTGCAAGACGCAGAGACTCACAGCCCTCTCACTGACTCAGCTGGGCCTTCCGAGGGTCACTGAATCTGGTAGATGGAGGTGGCCCATTCACAGGTCTCAGTGTGAGGCTTCACAGCGATGACCAACATTTGCTGAGTCTGCCATATTCATTGAAGGTCTTTCTACCATGCACCAGGCACGCTGGACCCTTCTGGAAAGATTGCAGGCAGTGAGTCAGAGCCGAGTTGTTTTCGTTGGAGCTCACATTCTAGGCAAATAAGGTCATTTCTGACAGTGATCAGTTTTCATGACAAAGAACATGCACGTGTGATGCAATGGATTGACAGAAGGACCGGGGAAGAAGTGGGGCTGCTCTTTAGGATGCGCATGGTGACATCTTCAGGAGGTGACATCTGGTCCGAGACTTTATTGAAAACAAAGTGCTAAGCTTCTGAAGGTCTGGGGAAGAGATGTTAGGCAGAAGTCAGGGCTTGTGCAAAGGCCCCAAGGCAGCAACAGCTCCTGTGATCCAAGAAACAGAAAGAAGGCCAGTGTGGCCAGGGCATGGGGAGGCGTGGCTGAGCCTTGGCAGGCAATAGTGAGCCGGAAGTCAGGCTTTTATTCTGAGTGCAGTGGAAGCCCCTGGGGGGTTTTCAGCAGGGCAGGCAGTGACATGAGAGCAGAACTGAGAGAGCTAGGGTTTACCTCCACTGGTTTTATTCTCTTTCACACATTCTCTGGAGGACATTCCGCTTCCTTTCTTTAGAACCATAATTCCCTTGGTTGACTTTAATAACCAGCAAGAGCATTTTTCAGGCTGTTTAATTTTATTAAAAGGTTTAAATTTGATGATAAATGGTGGCATGATTGCTTCAAGTCTCAGATACAAGACCTGCTCAGCCGTGGACACATCATCGACACCCACCGCCGTCCCCAACAGGAGCTCCCCCCACCCCGATGTAGTCTGAAACTGTAAATAATGTAATTATTTCTTGTACTTTGGTAAATATGCCAGGAACACTGGTAGCTGTCTGAGACCTACAGAGAATGCTAACTTGATGGACTTTTTTTTTTTTTTTTTTTTTTTTTTAAAGAAGAAGAATGGGTAATAAGTGGGAGCAATTTCAGCAGGCTGATTGGACCCCACACAATCTCAAGGAGGATGAGGGCTTCCCTCTGAAAGCATCATTAACCTCACAGACAATTGTTCAAAATCTGTGATAAGAGCTAGAGCTAGAGATCAGGAGGAGGAAGGAGGGGGTGAGTCATCAGCCCCCAGTCCTGAAAACCCTCGGGCCCACCAGGAGGCCAGTTAATTTCAGTGTACAGATGAGGCCCTGGGAATTCGGGTAGAGTCCCTGGAGAGGCACAGTCTGTTCCCACCATGATGACAGTCCCCTCTGAGCAGAGGACACCAATATATTAGGATCATGGCAAGGAGGCTGGGCAAGGTGGAGCTATCCAGATGTCGCCATGTAGCCTGGCGACCCCGACTTCTCCCTAGGGTGGGCCCAAAGATACACATTCGGAGATTTCGTTTGTCAGGCAAGCACAGGAAATCTTGGCAACCGAGCATGGCTGGGCAGGGCGAATTGCAGAGCATGTTAGTGTTATGGCGGTCATTACTATTAACTACTTTCAGAAGGCTGGAAACGCTGCTCCCCTCCAAAGACCTGCCCCCAGCAGCCAGCCTGGTGCACACTGGCATTCGCTTGGGCCAGGGAGGCTTGGAGGCTGCAGCCTGCTCTGGGGAGGCCACACTTCTCAGCTCAGATGGAGTCCTCTTCATTTGTATGCTGGCCCGGGAAAACTGGATTTATCCACACGCAGTATTGGCAGCTTGAGGTCTGACTCACAGAAGCACAGGCAGATGCAGACGAATGCCAGCAGTCAGGACTCAGGAAAGCTGAGCTGCCTCTGAAGACACAAGCCCTTCGCCAGAAAGCTGAGAAGCACTGAGAGCCCGAAGTGGCATCTTTAATTCATGGCACCACTTAGAGATCGTATTGCTAAATTCGAATTAATAATCTTTAAACAACAACCTACAGACATGGCAGAGCAGTAGGCCTTGTCCCTAGGCAGAACTTCAGGGTCTCCTCTTGCTCCCATCTTGGAATCCCAAGGGTCAGGATGGGAAGAACGGGGAGCAGCGTGGAGAGGGGGGTGGTTCCGTGTGGCCACCTGACTGCACCTGTTGGCGGGCTGCCAAGGATAAGGAAACTAGAAAAATTGGGAGTGATCTTTAGAAACTCACGTAGCAATGAACATCACTGCCGCGTCCAAGTGCGTGACTGGGATGTGGGATGTGGGATGTGGGATGTGGGATGTGGGATGTGGGATGTGGTATAGGCTTTGCAGGTGTTAAGCTCATGCCCTAAGCCACATGGAATGCAGGCAGAGTTTGGAAGCAGTGGGGCTGTGCATCCATCCATGACAGAGCAGAGGAGAATGGTTCCTTCCCTACAGTTTCCAGGAGGGAGTCTGAAGAGTTGAATGGGTGTCCAGAGCCACCATCCTGATGTCAAGTCCAATGTCATAGCCAGTAGAGGAAAGCCAGCCCTAGAACTAGGGGCAGAAGTGGGAGGGGGGCTACGCGAAGACCCCCTGTGCTGGGGTGCTTCTGCAGCAATGGCCGGTGCTGCGGAGGCCTGGAGAAGTCGGGGGCTTCTCCCCGACAGAGCACCAAGGGTGCTTGGTAGGAGGTGGGGCGTTTCTCTGGGGTATCAGGACTTGACCCATCGGTGGGCCTTTGTCCGATGAAGAGCAGGCTTTGCCCGAGGGGGTCTTGCTCCATCTTGAAAAGCTCATACTCCACGTGTGGGAGCCGGATGCCCAGCGGCAGGCAGCCATTGGTGGCTGTGACATCCCGCTCAGTGCCCACGGACCAGGCCCCTGCACCCCCACAGCTGCGTGGCTCAGAGAAGTTAAGCATGGCCGTGGTGACCTGGTCCATGGGAGTTACATGGGCCCGTGTAACCTCGAACACCAGCTCGGTGCCGCCGCGGACCCTGGTGGACGGCGTGCCCCTGGTGTAGCGGCCGGCGGCATACACGGTGAAGGTGGGCTGCTGGCAGGCTGGGTCTGAGAAGTGATGGTAATACCCCTCCCAGGAGCGGCTGTGCCCGTGGAAAGTGAAGAGCCGGGTGAGGAACAGGACCGCTGGGCGCACCTCGCATCCCGAGCTGACCCACCAGCCGCCCAGGCGCAGGGGCAGGGCCAGAGGGGGCGGCAGCACGGGTGGGTGGTGCACATCAGAGCGGGCAATGAGGCCACAGGCTGGGCACGGCCGCACGTGGTGCTGGCGAAAGACAAACAGAAAAACGGTGGTTGTCCCACAGGGAGAAGTTGGGGTGCAGCCTGGAAAGGAACCCCAGCTCTGTAGGGGTGAAAAGGCAGAGTGAGGTGCGGCCTGTCCCTCCCTCCTCTCTCTCTCCTCACTCCCTGCCTTCAGTCAGGACGGCCTTTTTGCTTCAGCCAGGAGGGCCTCCTTGATGGAGGTCAGCCCCTGTATCCCTCGGGCCTTGGGTCTCCTGCCGTCTGAACTCCCCGCCAGCTCCTTCTTACTAGGTCTCTGCTGGGCACCAGAGAGAGCTTTCCCGAATGCCCCATATAAGGTGGGGCTCAGGGTTGGCACATCACCCTCTTTTATCTTCCTCATTCCACCCCCTGAGACTCTCTTCTCTCTACCCCTCGCCCCTCATCAAACTGGAACGCATTATGCCTTACAGTCCTAAAAAGCCCTAGAAAGCCGGGACTGCCTCTGCGGCTACCCCATCCCCACAGCACAGGGCTTGGCTCGCAGCAAGCACACATTTGTTGCATGAATAAATGAGAAATGAATGGAAGCACAGGTGGCCTTCGTCTTGGGACCTGACAGAAGTTGTCCTTGCTCATGCCCAGTCTGCTTGGTCCTGGAATTTGACCGTGAAAGTTGATCTTTTTTTTCTAGCTCACTCTTCTAGGTGTTTCCGAAGTGCCAGGAACTATGCTAAGCACTTCCCGGGCAACTGGTACATGTTATAGCTGAGGGAGCTGACACCCAGAGGACCGGCTGGACTGCCCAGGTTGTCCAGCCTGGAAGTGGCAGAGACCAGCTGAAATGCAGCCTGGCTTGCACCCGGCTGTCTGAGCTCCCACTCTCCTGTGCTCATAGCAGGTTACATCTTCCCTACAGGTAGAGAATAGAGGATTTTTGTCTTTAGAAATCTCACAGTGGAAGGTGCACATCATTTGCTCTACCTACCCCATGGAAAGTGAATATGGCAACAAGGATCAAAAGCCATCAAAATATGTCTGAGCCGAGCGTGGTGGCTCACACCTATAATCCCAGCACTTTGGGAGGCTGAGGTGGGCAGATCATTTGAGGTCAGGAGTTCAAGACCAGCCTGGCCAACACGGTGAAAACCCATCTCTACCAGAAATACAAAAATTAGCCAGGTGTGGCGGCACATGCCTGTAATCCCAGCTACTCGGGAGGCTGAGGCAGGAGAATAGCTTGAACCCGGGAGGTGGAAGTTGCAGTGAGCCAAGATCACACCACTGTACTCCAGCCTGGGGGACAGAGCAAGACAACATCTAAAAAAAAAAAAAAAAATAGGCCGGGTGCAGTGTCTCACGCCTGTTATCCCAGCACTTTGGGAAGCCAAGGCAGATAGATCAATGGATCACGAGATCAGGAGATCAAGACCATCCTGGCCAACATGGTGAAATGCCGTCTCTACAAAAAATACAAAAATTAGCCAGGTGTGGTGGTGCACGTCTGTGATCCCAGCTACTTGGGAGACTGATGTAGAATTGCTTGAATCTGGGAGGCAGAGGCTGTAGTGAGCTGAGATTGTGCCACTGCACTCCAGCCTGAGTGACAGAGCAAGACTCCGTCTCACAAAAAAATAAAAAAATAAAAAATATGTCTTTGGAAACCCATTGCTTAAGTCTGTGCAAAGGAGATAATTGAAATCTCATAAAGAGCTGTGGCTCAAAGATGTTCATTCTCATGTTATTTGTTATAGGGAAAACCGACCACACTTAGGTCTACAGGTGCCGCCACACCCTCACTTGTCCCAGGCTATGAGTTGATTTTCCTCCATCTTTGCCTTTATTTACAGTTGTCCCTGCCTTACAAACTCTCGTGAGCTGCGTTTACCATAAAACACGTTAACAGGAAACAGATGCTAAACTAAATTGCGTGGGAGTAGTCTGCGTTTTGGAGTGAAAAGGCTCCGCAGACACTAAAAGGAATGCGATACAGACTTCTTCCTTCTTTCTCCCTCTCCTTCCCCTTCTCCTATTTTGTTTCTAAAAAAGCAGCTGCTGCCCAGACTTGAGGCCAGAGCACCGTTCTGGAAGGTAAATGGCCTTGGAACTTGTCAAAGCTGATGTGGGAACAAGCAAACATCTCCTGCTGTTGCCATTCCAGAAGGAAACTTAGAGTTGCAGTCCAGCCAGGACAGGCACAGGAAGGGGGCGTTTTGAGGGCCCAGCTGGGAAATTAGCTCCAATATATTTTTTCTTGCAAAACTCCCAAGATTTCCGTATAGCACCGCTGAGTTCCATACAGTACTGAGTGAGTTTCATGCCAGACAAGTAACATTTAGAAGTTCTGGTTTAGAAGGAAAATATTGGATGATTGGATGATTGATAACAGTGTTTTTTTTTTGGGGGGGGGTGTCATTTTATAAGCTGTTATTTTTTATTTCTATAATGAACCTTAAGTTTCCTTGATTTATATAACATTGGAGACCATCTTGGCTTTGGTGATGGGGATTTTGGCCCAGAGAGCTTGATGGTTCTCTGAAATGCTAGCAAATGGCTGCAAAAATGTTTGTGACATGAGCAAGCAAGCTTGATAGTTAGCTGGAGTGTTGGTGATGGGGATGTCAGCTGATGGGAGTTGACTCTATGTCACACTAATGTATATTGAGAGGACGTAATGCATTACAGCAAAATAATCCCAGAGCTCTCCTTACCCACCACAAAGGACAAACAAACAAAAGAGGTTCTCTGCAGCTAGGGCGTTTGGGGATGCTGGTTAGTAATTTGGGGCAAGCAGTTTTCTGCAGAGCAGAAGCAAATGGAGAACCAGCAAACTTTTAAGGTGAAAGAGGGGTGAGAAAAGGCATTTCCTTCTCTGGTGCTTTTGAAGGTGGTGAGACAAGGTTCCCGGCTCCATGGGAAGTCTTCCGGGCATCTTTCTGCAGAGGTCTGAAGTCTCCTGCGTTAGTAAACAAGGCCCCCGGCAGGCAGAATTCACACTTGTACAGAAACCAAACTCTTACTCATTTAAGCCTGTTACATAAAGTTATTTCTCAAACACTACATAACAGTTTCTAATTAACCCCCAGAGGTGACACCAGGCTCAGATAATTTTGGTCCAGAGTTGGCTGATTGATTAGGATTCTATATCCAGGCAATGAATTTGGGGATCCAATTGGTTTTAAATTAACTTCTAAAAATGTTCATGTTTACCATCTGGTTTGGGTCGTGGGCAGGGCGTGGGCCCCAGAGAGCGTAAGGCAACAACCGATTCATTTCTTGGGGATTTCTCTGCAGCAGTTCCTTCTTTGAAATGATCTGTCTTTTCTCTTTCTTTTTTCTTTTTTTTTCCCCAAGGAGAGGAGCCGCTGGTGAGCAGACCTTTAATTTAAGGTCTGTACATCTGGCACTGTTCATCTCTGCATTCATTTCTATGTGTTTTGCTTCTCAATCCCATTTCGGGCTGGATTGGCCACCCGGGTTAGCCAGGCAGCAGGGAGAGCAGGGACAGCCATGGCCCCAGAGTCCTGCCTGGGGACGCATGAAATTGTCAGCCTCCGCAGCCCCGGGGGATCTGTCCTCTCTGCATTCAGAGCAGTTTCCCCTCCTAATGAGGTGGTGGCGGCCGGTAATCAACTCACCACTAGCGCCTTCTCTGAACTAAGTAGGATTAACGCCACACCAGCCTAGAACATTGGTTGCCAAAAAGGGAATAATTTCGAGGTCATAAAAAGAACTCTGAGGCTGATTTTCTGATTATGAGAACTTCGTGTCATGTTCCTCCTCTGCTACTGAGATCCTCGGTTTGGAGAAGGGGAGGGGGAGGGGGAGGAAGGCAGGCTTCCGGTCTGTCTCATCCACAGTGCTCCCACATTGGGGCAGTGACAAGTGGCTGCTGCCAGGGGTGAGAAGTTGCCTCATCTGGTTTAGTTCCTTGAATGTCTAGTACACAGTAGGCAACAGATACATGCTGAATGATGTGAAGGTGGCCTAAGAGCTCCAAGAGGATTTCATGGGGATGCTGAACCCATCCATCCATCCACACCCATTCATCAATCCTCCCTCCATCTGCTCATTTGTGCACTCAAGAAATACGCATTGGGTGCCTTGTACAGAGGTTTTTCGCCTGGAATGCTAACCTCAACTTCATTTTCACTAACCTTTCACTAATAAAAGTTAACATTTCTTCTCATTGTAAATGGAGGCAACACGCCCCAGTAGCGTCAGCAGAACCTCTGACTTTGTATGACGCTAACAGCGTTGTAGGTACTGGAAACATGGTTTGCAGTCATCCTGCTTTGAAATGAGGGCAAATAAAGATTTCACATTTATCGTTTTTCTATATCACAAATTAATATTTTAAAACTTGGGTAACTATTTTAATAGAACTGGTTTTCATTTAAATCCCACGTATTTTCTCTTATGCTTTTAAAAACAGATTTTCTGAAGAGGGGTCCTTAGGCCTCACCAGCCACCAGAGGGTTCTCTGACACTGGGAAGGTCCTAGGTCCACACCCTTGTAGGAGCCAGGCTCTGAGCTATGTGCCAGGAGCCATTATACAGTAAAGTTATGTTTCTTTCTGCCTGTTTGCTCACCTGGCAAAAAAAAAAAAAAAAGTGTGTGTGTGGGGTGCTACTAGATCTTCCCCAAATTAGTATGGTATGCGGGCCATGGCTTCATCTAAAATCTAGGTTAATCAGCTTAAATGAAATTCGTGCTGGAGTCAAGGGGGAGCATGTCAAAGACAGGGCGGTTTCCTTTAGACTGCAGCCTCCCCACACCCCGGACGGCTTGCTGGAAATGCAGAACCCCGGGCTCCCCCCACACCTGACGGATCCCTTTCGGCCTTCTCACAAGAAGCCCAGGCCACGTGTCTTCGCCGTCTGGTTTGGGAGTGGGTGGGAGTGGCGCCCCAGTGGCTGTGCGGCTAGGTCGGTGTGAGGCTCGCACTGAGATTTCAAGGGACCGGCATCAGGGCTGGTGTGCGCGGCCCCAGCGGCACCCTGGAGGAAAGCTGCCCTCTCCCTAATTCATCCATCCACATTTATTGGTCCTGATCGTGTGCCTGACCCGTCGTGCTAGGTGCCCGCTGTGACCCCACCCTTGTGAAGGACCTAGCGCCAGAGGGAGAGGCAATAAACAAGTCACCAACAGAGCTTCAGAACGGGCTGAGAGCTGGCAAGGTCACTCTCGGGAAACAGGGAACAGTAGAATGGGAACTGGAGTGGATATTTCAGCCGAGAACCAAGGGAGGGGGACACCCGCCCAAGCCTCTGTGCCCAGCAGGGGCAGAAACGAGATCCTGCAGTGCCCACGAGGACAGGGGCTGGGGAGGACCAGCGTGGGAAGACCGACCAGAGGCCCGCCAGCCTTGTAAAGGCTGAAAAAATATGTCTCCAGCAGCGTGAACAGGGTGCGCAAATGTCCTGAGGCACGTGGACCAGAGTGGGGAAGGGCAGTGATGAGAGCCGGGCAGCCAGAGCCCTGGGCTGGCCCAGATCTTGCAAAGCTGCGGGGCTGAGCTCCGAGCTTGTCCCCCGAGACCCCCCCCGCCCCACTCACCAGTGCGCTCTGCAGCGGGCGCTGGTAGCCGGTGGGCCGGTAGTGCCGCCTCTCGGCCGGGTCGGTGTGGATGTCCCCCAGGTACAGCTCCTCCACCAACCGGGGCGCCGCCCGGGGCTGCGGCTGCAGGCGGCGCTGCACGCGGACCAGGCTGAGCTCGTGCATGCTGAGGCCCAGCGCCTCCAGGCAGTCCCCCTGGGCCCGGGCGCTCCGCAGCTCGTACAGCGCCCCGGGCATCCAGGCCCGGGCCGGGGGCAGCCGCCGCGCGCAGTCCCGGCCGGCGCGGGTCTGGTTGAGGCGCCCGGAGACGTCGAGCAGGGCCCGGCGGCTGTGGAAGACGATGCCCACCTTGTGCAGGTAGTAGTCGGCCTCGGTGGCTCCCCGGGTGACCCAGGAGGCCCGGCGCAGGCGGACTTTGCCCTTGACGAGCAGCGAGTGGGCAGGCTTTCCGCAGAAGGGGTCCTCGTAGTAGAACTGGTGGGCTCGAAAGAGCCGGCTGGGGTAGAAGGTGTAGGCACGGGTCAGGAACTCCGGTCCTGGGCGCACCTCGCAGCTGCAGGGGTGGAAGGAGACGGGCTGGGTATGTTGGGAACACCATGCCGCGAGCCCCTCTCTCCTCTGGGCTGGGCTCCGTTCTCCCCCTAATCCCCCTCTTAGGCCTCAGCTCAGGCCTGGGCCCCTCCAACTTCAGTTCCCCTCACTGCTCTCAGTCAGCCACCCTTGGGACTGCGGCTTTGCACTGGATGCCTCGTGGCCTCAACACAAGCCTTCTAGTTCATTCTCCTTTCCTTCAATCCGAATTGCCCTACTGGAGGCCCTTTTGCAACCATCTGGGGACCCACAGGCCTGGGAGCTCCGGGATGCCCTGCCTGCTTCCTCCCCCACTGGACTTTGGGCACCTGGCCCAGAGCCGGCCCCGCGCCCTCCGCGGTCCTTGCTGAGTGAATGGAGGGAGGGGAGAGTAGTGATCAGGAATGACGGTGGCCCGTCCTGTCTCCCCTTCTCTAGGCTCACTGCCCTGACCAGGTCTCATCCTTGCCTGTGACAGGGCTTGTAGATATAAACCAGGAGTCGGCAAACTTTTTCTGTAAAGGCCTGGGTAATAAATATTTTTGTTTTTGTGGGCTGGGTGGTTTCTTCCGCAACTACTCAAAGTTGCCATTGTAGAGCTAACACAGCTATAGATGACATGTACATGGATGGGCATGGTTGTATGCCAATAAAACTTTATTTACAAAATTGGAAAGTGGGCTGAACTTGGCCCCAGACTCCATTTGCTGGTGATGCAAACAGATCCAGGGGAAGGGGTTGGAGGGAGAAGAAAGAGGAGTGACTCCTAGACCCGCGGTTAGCTCCGGGATGGGGCAGAGGAGGCCTCTGGGACTTCCCACTGAGGGTGCAGGTGGGGTGGACAGTGGATGAAGTCAGGGGGGAAAAAAGAGCAGGCACCTTCCTCACGATTTTACTCTAACCAGGTACCCTCTTGTACTGCTACTTTCTTTTTTTTTTTTGAGACAGAATCTCACTTTGTCACCCAGGCACTGGTACAATCTCGGCTCACTGCAACTTCTGCCTCCTGGGTTCAAGCAATTCTCCTGCCTCAGTCTCCTGAGTAGCTGCAATTACAGGCGTGTGCCACCATGGCTGGCTAATTTTTATATTTTTAGTAGAGACGAGGTTTCATCATGTTGGCCAGGCTGGTTTTGAACTCCTGACCTCAATCAATCTGCCCATCTCGGCCTCCCAAAGTGCTGGGATTACAGGCGTGATCCCAGCCTATTTTCTTGATGTTTTTTGTAGCAGGGCTGTTGGAGCAGAGGAAACATGTTATCACCCAGCAACGAAATAATTCCCTTTTCTTTTCTTCCATCTTTTTGATAATGTTGAGGGGAAATTCTCTGTTCAGAGCTAATGTGTCTTTAGTGCCAACCTCCCTGTTCTCCCAGAGAGAGCAACTCAGAGCCTCGGGTCGGCAACGGATGTAGAGAGGATTTATGTTGTTTTGTTTTCGTTGAATTTAATTTTACAGTTACCTTTAATTTATGACAAGTGGCTCTGGTCCCCATATCCAGGATAATATTACATTTTCTTTAAAAATAATCACATTACACTGTCAATGTATGCCAGTTACACCTCAATAAAGCTGTAAAATAAATGAATATATTTTAGTAAATAAAAGCAAGTTGGTTTACAGAAAATGATAAGTAAATACTAGTATAGGTACTTAAAAATAGGAGGGGTGACCATACCCCTGACGGTCTCAGACAAGGCCTGGAGAGGGGAGATTTGTCTGAGAGGACACAGTAGGTCACACTGGACCTCTCGATGGTTCCCAGGCTCTGGACCCTTTCCCACTCTTCTCCCAGGAAGCAGCAAGGTCAGTCTGGAGAGCATGGCAGGGAACTTTCAAGGAAGAAAGTTCTAGAAGAAATTTCTTAGAAAAACTGCTCCAAAATGTTACTGTCTTGGGGCAGGAGCGGGCTGCAACCAGTGTCCTCTCTTCCTGCACCCCAGTTCTGTCTGGGTGACCCTGGCGAGTGGATGCCTGGATCCCCCCTGGACTGTGCCGTGGGCGTGGGGACTGCTTGCAGCCTGGCTGAGCCTGCAAATGTGTTCGAAGCGGCCTTGAAGAACTCACATCCCTTCCTCCACCCAAAGCGCTAGCAGATGTTTGGCAGTTGGGAGTTTCTGCCTGACCTCAGGAGGTACAGGAAGGACACCAAGAGGCCAGTCCTTGACCCCAGAATGGGACTGGCCTGGAGGGGATGTTGGGGGAAGGAGGAATGTGCCAGGTGTGGAGGGGGCCACGCTTTTCCCCAATCCCTGCCCCAGGAGTGGGGACTCAGCTGGCTGCTGTAGGGTTTGTGCACCACAGATGAGGAGAGAATGCAAAGTCCATTGGCCGCAAAGCAGCAACTGAGCCTCTGAAATGTCGAGTGAGCCTGTCAGGTTAGACAGAATTAGATGGGTGCACCCAGGCTCTCCCTGGCCTGCCACTTCCTACCCCAAGGCGTTTCTTTTTTTTTTTTTTTTTTTTGAGACGGAGTCTCGCTCTGTCGCCCAGGCTGGAGTGCAGTGGCCGGATCTCAGCTCACTGCAAGCTCCGCCTCCCGGGTTTACGCCCATTCTCCTGCCTCAGCCTCCCGAGTAGCTGGGACTACAGGCGCCGGCCACCTCGCCCAGCTAGTTTTTTTTTTTTTTGTATTTTTTAAGTAGAGACGGGGTTTCACCGTGTTAGCCAGGATGCTCTCGATCTTCTGACCTCGTGATCCACCCGTCTCGGCCTCCCAAAGTGCTGGGATTACAGGCTTGAGCCACCACGCCCAGCCACCCCAGGGCCTTTCACCAGCTGCCCCCTCTGCCTGGCTCTTCCCTGGCCCTCTAGATGGCTGATTCCTCTCCTTTTAGCTCTCAGCTGATGTCACCACCTCCAAGAAGCCTCCCCTGATCGGTCTCTAAAGAACCCTCCAGGTCACTTGCTATCACATCCTTGGTTTTATTTCCTTCATTGAAGAGCTTAGTGCAATCTCAAGTTTATACTATTCATTCATGTGTTCAAATGTTAAGGGCACGTCCCACTGCTGACCCTGGGCACTCAGTTCGTAATAGGTTTGTATAATAGGTGCTCAAGGTGTTGAATGGATTTTGTCCATGGACGTGATGCCCAACACAGTCCCTGCCTCCCATTGCAGTCTGGGAGGGGAGGCAAGCATCGCCAGCAGCTTGGCAGATAGCAGGCCTCTTGATAACTATGTGAATTATGCCTATTTCAAAGATTGGACACCGAGTCTCAGAGAGGTAGAAGTCTCCGAGCCCATGGGCCCATGGTCAGGATGACCTGAGGTCTTACCCCGTGGAGATCCAAGGTCCATTGAGGCGTGGGGGCAGGATTGCAGTGCTGGGCACTCTATCTGGCAAGGGCGGCTGGCAGCGGGGTTCCCAGCGCAGGCGGCTGCCCCCAGCCTCCCCAGCCACCAGTGCGGTGTGGGCTGCAAAGCAGACAGACCTGAGTAAGACCCCAGCATGCCCCAAGAACACCCACCCCATCTGCCCTCCCAACCCCACTGTGGCCACAGACAGCCAGGCAGGGCTGTCCCGCACCCTCCATCGCAGCCCTGTCCCCAGGGTGCCCCAGTTCTGGAGATAGTGATGCGCTCCCCATATTGAGGATCCTAGAATCAGCCTCTCCGACGCATCTCCTCCTGGGTTCCCAGATGTGATCACCCTGGAATCCAAGCCTCCTAGATGGAGACCGTCCCAGATTCTGGGGCTGGGAGGCCTCTGAGAATTCTACTGCGTGGAGCAGACTCCTAGAAGCCCAGAACTTCCACGGGCTTGCCAGCCGTGACCAGGTGCTGCCGCAGGTGGCGGAAGGACCCACGATCCTGGACAAAGGACACTCGGGACTCAGGACCCAAGGTGCTGGGGACAGTGGGGCCCTAGCCCATCCCCAGAGCAGACCACTCCCCTCCGCCAAGGAGCCCTGGGGGCTGCTTGGCCTCTCCCAGCACAGAGCAGGTCCCTTGAGGCCACTGGCTTCAGGTCTCACCTGGTGCTGGGTGCCTGCTGTCTACTTGGTGCTCAGTGAACGCGTGGCAAGTGAAAGAATGCATGGCCACTACAGAGGCCTGGGCCAAGGTCTGAGGACAAACAGTGCAGGCCCTGCCCTTCTTCAGGGCTCCCTAAGCCTGGACACCAGGGGAGGAATTGGGCTCAGGGCAGAAGGTGACTGGAAGATGGACACGGGAAGCAGGCACTGCAGCACAAGCTCCAGATCCTCTGGAGTGACCCCTGGATGAGCTTGGCTGGGCCTGGAGACAAGTCAAGCCCGGGTGTGGGGCTGTTCACGATCCCTTCTTGGGCTGCTCAGAGGTGAGAGTGCCAAGACCTTCAGCTGCTAAAGAGCAGCAGCTCTCCCAGAAACTGTCATCTCCACTCGGGGCTGACGGGCTTGAGATGGCCCAGATGACGGGATGCTGTGGGAAGCTCGGCAGTGAGCTGCGTCCAAATACTCCAGCCACGGGCTGTGCTCAGGGGCGCGGGCCTGGCCCTGGAGGCCCAGTTCCTGCAGTGAAGCTTCCAAGCATGGCTCTTCCCACCCAGCCTGGGGCTGGAGTGGGTTAGGAGGGGCTGAGTCTTAGGGCTCCAGTCCAGGGGATGTGGGGGCCTGGCAGGAACTTCAGGAGGCCTTGGGAGGGGTTGGGGGCTGAGTTGAGAAGTGAGCAGATGGCATGTTCTGTCCCTTTCCTGGCCTCGCAGGCAGACCTTCCCAGCAGGGGTTCAGAAGAGCTGAGGGCTCCCTACTGCCCCCTCAGAGCTGCTTGACCCCAAACTCTCTGTGCCCTAGGGGTATTTTAGGAAAATGAGGCAGAGTGGATTCCTCAGTTCCCTTGAGGTTGGGGGTTGCATCTGGAGACTTTTGGGGTCCCCAGTGATCAGCTGAGAAGGCAGGAGTGACGCTGATGATGACGAGGGGGATGACAGCACCTGTTAACTGGGTGCGGACCCCTTGCACTTCTATACATTATTCCCATCTGATTTTTGCAATAACCCTGGAGTCAGTGTTAGTGTTATCTTCCTCTCATGGGCAGAGAAACAGACTCAGCTCAGAGATGGGCTTAGCTTCCACCGGACACGTGCCACCCGGATGTGGCAAAGCCAGGATGTGAGCCCAGGTTGTTGGACTTCAGGTTGTGGCGGCCTCACCGGTGCTTGTCTTACATCCCCAGAGAACACAGAAGAGGCTGACTTGGAAGCGGGGTAAAACTCAGGGCAGTCAACAAACATTGGCCAACTGAATAAACGAAGGCACGAGTACAAATGCTGGTGTAGCCCAAGGTGCCTGTTGTAATCTTGGTTCATCCTGCAACTGATGATTGGCTTTAATTAGCCAAATAGGAGAAATGAAAACAAATAGCCACCCAGCCAGGGCCAAGGTGTCACCACACCGACTCATCAGCACTCAGGGCCGCTCTACCAAGTGAATGAAATGCCAGCAGGATCTTGAAAGAGAGAGGCTGTGGTTGTTTTGTCTTAACGTAGCACGTCTAATTTGCAGAAATGTGTTGCAGTACGTTGTAGTGCGTGGGTAGGCACCAAAGTTGGGCCAGGTCCCTATACAACTCGCCAGGAGTCCTGAGCTGATGGGTGCACGTCAGCGTCAACACCTCGTGCATTTGGGGGCTTCTGCAATCTGCTTCTTCAGAAGACATTGGGTTCCCTGGATTCAATTCTGCAGGTTAATTTGAACATCTCCAGTGTCAATGAAACCTGTCCAAAAGTGTTGATTTGGGGGAATGGATGAAAACAGAGCGAGGAAAAGGATCAAAAGGGGTCAGCAATATTTGCCTGGTAGGAAAATCCAGCTTACGTTTCAGAGTGAAATAGTGAAGGGGTCCTGCAAATTATCTTGTCATTGTTTCCACACAACTTGGGCTCTTGAGGAAGTGTTTTTCTGTTCAAAAGAAAACAAGACTTTTTTCCCCCCCCTGCACCCTCCCTGGAGTCACTGAGACTAGATGGCCCTTGAAGTGGTGTTTTGTCATGAATCCTCAGATCCTGTGTTTCTGCCGAGTGCATTTTATTTATCTTGTTTTTCTGTGAGGAATTGGGATTTAATTATGTTGGGAGACTCTGAGATACAGCGAAATGTGGCTGCATTCGGAACATGTACACACAAATGCGAAGCAATGCCGGGCACCTCTTGAGGAGCATCATGTCGCCTCTTGGTCATGCATGAAGTCTCAACTTCAAGGTTGCAAAAGCAAAATTGACCAATTATAAATGATTGCATGACATTTTCTCCAACACAGCTCTTGGGGTAGAATGTTGTATTTTCTTTGCTTTCCCTCCACTTCCTCTTTCTCTTCCTCCAAAAAAGTCTTAACTAAAGAAGTAACAGCTGAAAGTAGATGGTGCGGTGGGTTGAGTTACACAACTTTTTGCAGGGAAGTGATAGACGGAGTTAAATGCATGGACCAAATTGATTTTTATCAACCATGGATTTTTAATTAACAGTGGTGTCCACTTACTGTCATTCATTATTTACTGTTTACCCACTAATTAAAAATTATGCTGCTTTTGCATTCATAAGAGCAGGACATTTGAAATTAGATAGCATCGTTCAAATTACCTGAAGAATTAAATCTAGAGTTCCCAATTGCTCAGACCAGGCTACCGGAGCTTAAAATATGACCTGCTTGAGGCCGATGTGTCATCCTGAATCAGAGCACCAGAAACAGGCCTCATGAACAAATACCATATGGACCTGCCTGGGGCCTTCCGGGGAAAGGACACTCACTGAGTACACACGTAAGTGTGGGCACTCGGCTAAGATTGTCTTGAGATCATCAAGTGGTGCCCAGCGTCTCCTGAGTGGGAGGCCCAAGGTCAGGTGCTTCATCTGCATTATGACCTTGAGCCCTCCCAGCGGCAGTGCGTCAGTACCCTGGCAGAGCCCAAAGGATTGACAGGTGTTATTGGCACAACCACCTGTGACATGGGTTCGGTCAATGAACCCATTTTGCTGATGAGGAAACTGCAGTTCGGAGGAGTGGAGGGACCTGGCCATTGTCACTCCTCTGCAGACAGATGCTTCTTAACCAAATAAAACACAACAATACACCCAGTAAAATACACCTAACATCAAAGGTACCATGTCGGCCAGGCACAGTGGCTCACACCTGTAATCCCAGCACTTTGGGAGGCCGAGGTGGGCGGATCACCTGAGGTCAGGAGTTTGTGACCAGCCTGGCCAACATGGTAAAACCCTGTTTCCACTAAAAGTAGAAAAGTTAGCTGGGCATGGTGGTGCACGCCTGTAATCCCAGCTATTTGGGAGGCTGAGGCAGAAGAATCACTTGAACCCAGGAGGCGGAGGTTGCAGTGGGCCGAGATCATGTCATTGCACTCCAGCCTGGGTGACAAGAGTGAGACTCAGTCTCAAAAAAAAAAAAAGAAAAAAGGCACCATTTTAAAGTGAACCATTTGGTAGCATTAGTACACTCACAATACCGTGCAACCGCCACCATAATCTCATTCCGGAACGTTGTCATCACCTCAGAAGGGGACCCTGTGCCCATCAGCAGTCACTCCCGCTCCCCTCTCCTCTTAGATCTCGGCAACAATGACTCCGTTTTCCGCTTCTGTGGATTTGCCTATTCTGGATATTTCATAAAGATGGAATCCTACACTCTGTGCCCTTCTCTTAACTCCCTTCCCCAGCAATTCTCCTAGGTGGGTGTGGTTATTCCATTTTGCAGATGAACAGTGGAGGCTTAGACAGGTTTCACTCCTGGGGCCACCATTTATGTTTTCTTCAAAGATCACGAAAAATGCAGGTATGGATCAAAGAGAGAAGAGGGCGGAGAAAAGATGTGAGCTTTGTAGCCAGAGCAGATGGAGAAATATCAGCTTTTCAGGTACCTTTCTTTTAGGGGTAAAAAGCAAAAGAAAAGTAGCTTTTTTCTCTTTTAATCTGCTTGTTCTGAGGTTCTCGAAGCAAGGCACTAATGAATGCAGGGTGGGGTGCGAGGTGATTTTAGGCGCGATGCGAACACTTCGTATTCCAACAGTGACGCATCGATTTTAGGAGGTGTTAAAAGTGTTGGTAGTTACCGTAACAACCTTGTGCTTGCACGGCCTGTTTTGCTGAGGACTGAGTTTTAAAAGGGGATTGATCTGAACTTGATATTAAAATATTAGGTATTTTATTTTAACTATTTTCTTTTTATATTTTAATGAAATCGTATTTAATAAGTAGATGTACAAGGGACTCGTGGTGTGGTAAATGGCCTGAGGATGGTGCACGGAAGATGGAGGGAGGAGCAGTTCAAGGTGAACTGGTCACCTCACCTGAGGCACGCAAAAGGAGAGCATCTGGGCATCTCAGGGCTGCCATGACAAAGACCACATACTGAGTGGCTGAAGCAACAGGAGTCGATCCTTTCCCAGTCTGGAGTCTGCAAGTCTGAAGTTTGAAATCAAGGTG